GGCAGAAAAGGGCTAGCAAACTAGGTCATAACATTTTTAATAACAAAAAAGAGGCTCCATTAACAGTAACAAAGTCGTAAATTTATATGAGAGGTAACTAGTAACTATAATATAAACTTAAAGGGATATAAAAGATAATATTTTTAATTTTTTAGAGGGGCTTTGTGCAATTTTTTAGAGATTTTTATATAAATATAAGTAAAAAAGAAAAAGAACAAAAGTTGAGGGGTAGGCTCCCTGTCCATTAGGATAAACTTAAAATATCTTCTTTATTTGCTGAAATCGTATTGATTATTGGTGATTAAATGAGGATTTTCTAATTAAGGTAGTTAAGGGGAAAGAGGAATCTAGGCATTGCCTAATTCGGACAACCAATTAAGGGAGGAAAAAAAACATGAAACTTCTTGAAATAAACTTGTCTCAATAAAATTATACTGATGAATTATCAATGATCGAAGAAAGACATATTATTATAATTCAAAAAGATTGACCCATAAGATAGGGATATAGCATATTTTGAATTAGGAAACAAGATATTTTTCGATTTTATTCTTAATCAATTGTAATTATCTCGTAAGGGCATATAAATGGAGAATTATACATGGAAAAACGCCCTACGTCCATTCTATTAAGCAAATTCGCTTGCAGTTCTCTTAGATTATAGTGAAAATTTCTATCTCCTAGTCAAAATTTCCTAACAGACATAACTCTGAATTTAGAGTGAATTACTGTATATCTCATGTGTTCATTTATTTTCTGACTAAAAAGATTATTACGTGATAATGATTGACTTGTATTCTTGTTTGTTCGATAAATTTCCAGTATCACCATTATCATACTCGATTTAGGTTCAAATATGTGCCGGTTACTAGTAGTGTTCAAAATTTCTGAAGTATGACCTAGACATCTTTTCATGTCTGCCAATTAAGGGGGAAAAGAAAAACAAGAAAGGAAAAAAAAAAGAAAAAAAAAGAAAGAAACCATTATTGACTTTTTCCATGCGCAATATCCTATGGATGGATGCCAAAGTTTTCGTTCGAAGTCATAACTATTGATGCATTTACAGCTCTATATAGGGACATTAACCAAAAGGAGTTGGAGACAATTAAAAGCAAAGCCTTCCAACATAAATGAGACTCTGAACTCTATGCCCCCAAAAAAAATTCTGTCGTTTTCCTCTACAGCTTTAATGCAAGGCGTTACAAATCCTTTTGTATCCGCAATAGCAGGTAAAAGTGTATTCAATACCACCTCATTTTATTGAAAACGTAACAACACATTTCAATTAGTAAGTAGTAATTATAACAAAACAAAAGAAGGAAAAAAAAAAAAGAACTTTCACGATAGAGTAGGTTATTTAGCTTTATTAATAGGTACTTTTAGAGAAAATTTTAAGTTTAATTCTATTATTTATGTTACTATATTAAATTTTAATGCCACTATAAAAGATAATCTACAGATTATGAAAAAAAAAATTTTAAATTGTGAAAGATAACTTATAGAATACAAAAAATATCTTGCAGATTATTAAAAATAGCATGCAGTTTATAAAAAAATAACCAACAAGTTATTAGTGAAACGTATAAATTTTGCATTTGTATTGCCCACTTCAAATATGATTGTCACCTAGACTTTACCCCAATCCTTAGTCCTTACCATCCCTGGTTGTCTTTAAAATTCCATGAACCATTAGCTCCATATAATCATTACATAAAATGTATGAGTTTCATAATTTGTAAAGTGACTATTAAAGTTAAAATTGAACGGTGTTTTTTGTTGAATATGCAAGTACGGAGATATAGCAAGCAAATTCTCATGTACATAGTAGACTAGAGGGATTTTGTTCTAGGTCCACCAAAGAGAATATTGCAACCCCCACAATTTTCTAGAAAACTCTTTTCTACAATTAATGCTTTAAAACAGCGAGATTCTCATGAAACTGTACTATATTTATGAGAATAAAAAAAAAAAACGAAAGAAAATCTCCCATCAACAATTAATGTTTTAGTTAGAGGTTCAAATTTTCATAAGTCTCGACATATTTGCACTACTATATTATTGAAATATAATTTAACGATGTACAAAAGATGCGCTTCTATAATAAAAGTAAAATTAAATAAGAAAATAAATTAAAGAATAAATAAAAAATAAAAAATAAAAAATTAATACAATTTGTCGAAGTGCTGTATTAATTGACTAAAAAAAGAATGTTCACTAATAAATAATACTATAAATGAGGATTCATATAAAAAGATATTACAAACACGGATAAATGACTCAAAATTAAAATAAAAAGATTTCATAATACAAAAATAAATATAAATAAAGTCTAAAATAATTACCATGTTAACTTTTCCTAAAAGTTATTAATACGATTAATTTTTAACTATTAAATTTAATTAAAATTACATTAAATTAGAAAATATGCTACATAAATAATTTTTAATACTTGAAAATAAAAAATCATTAATAATTTATTTTTTTTAGTCCTCGAATAGAAACTCTCAAGTAAGTAAATATTCCTTTTTTTAATTAAAAAATAAAAAAAAAAGGTTTGACAAGAGGGAATTAGAGAATAGAGAAGAGAGGACAAATTCCAAATTGGGACCCTAGTGCTTTGCTTAGGTGCCAATGATTTCGGCAGCTGACCTTTGAATCGACAAGCAGACTAGAGACCTCTGGGCTCCACTTATCATCTCTTCTACAGCGAGACCTGCCGGATATTCTCCTACACTTTCCCTTTCTCATCACTTGGACACGTGTCACGCATCAGGTGGGTCACACACTTTGACTTGACGACATCAGTCAAATAACCCCTACCCCAACTCCAAAACCATGACTAATTAAATTAACCCCCATAAAAGAAAATTAAAATTTTTTTAAAAAATCCCATCATCCTCGGTAGAATTTCCTTCACTAATATATGTTTCTTTTCTCAAATTTTCATTTCATTTTCTTTTCTATTTTCCTTTCCACATTGTGGTCATGTGGTTTTTAATTCTTGTCTTCTTTCCCCACTAGAGAGAGCTATATATTTGACCTTTACATTCTCACCTTTTTCTCCTCTCCGTTTCATATCATCATTTGATATATGTGTGTGTATTTTTCATCTCTTCTTCCGTCGCCTTTTGTTTACTTTACCTTTTTCCTTTTCCCAAATCTCTCATTCCAAATAAATTCTCACAAATTTTCTTTTCATCTTCTTACAAATTCTCCATCTTTGGCCGTCTTTTTTTTCTCTGCAATAATCATCTTCTATGGCTGTACTTCCTATGAGCTCTTCAAGCTTGGAGTTGACCATTTCCGTACCAGGATTCTCTTCTTCTCCATCCCTTCCATCCTCGGGTAAGCCTATATAATATATATATATATATATATATATGTGTGTGTGTGTGTGTGTGTGTGTGCGCGCGCGCGCGCGCGCGCGTGTGTATAAACAAGCATATATATGTATGTATTTCTCTTTTCTTCTTCCTCCTTTCTCTTTCTGGGGAGATACATACATAGATTGGTGTATAAGTGTGTGTGTGTGTGTATGATCATATAAACTTCTTTTGATTATTTTGTTTTTCTTCTCCTTTTCTCTCATCAAGCTTTAGGTTTATGAATTTATTTGGTAATTTTGATAATGGCCCACGTAAAGAATCTTTGATATATTTTTCCATAAATTTCTCCCCCAAAAAATTTTGATCCCCACATGTTCTTTTCTAGACCTAATTGTCACATAAAAATTTAGTAACCGGTAACGTAATTATAATCCATAATCTTTCTAATTTTGGTTGATTTAAATGTGCATGTATACATATATATAGTAGTGAGAGACTTGGACATAAACCAAGTACCATCAATAGAAGCAGATCATGATCATGATCATCAAGAAGAATGGATGATGATCACAGCAAATATGGATGACGAAGATGAAATGAGTACTACTAATATTGGTTCTGGTCCTCCTCGAAAGAAACTCCGCCTCACAAAAGAGCAGTCTCGTCTTCTTGAAGAAAGCTTCAGACAACACCATACCTTAAACCCTGTAAGCCTGCTAATATTATCTATATACGTATACGTATATATATGTATATAAAATAGTCTAATGAAAAATTAATGCATGTTCTTTTCAATATATTATAGCCTAAATTAAATTTAATTATTTTTATGAGAGAAGGCCTTATAATTTTCCCTCTCTTGTTAATTTTGCAGAAACAGAAAGAGGCTTTGGCGTTGCAATTGAAGCTGAAGCCACGCCAAGTTGAGGTCTGGTTCCAGAACCGTAGGGCCAGGTACCGCAGACAAACCCTGTATGTGTGTGTGTGTATATATATATATATATATATATACACACTCATATATATCAATATATGTGTATAAGTATTGTATATACATAGCTAGGTCATGACAAATGAATTTTCTTTTTGTTTCTACTTTTTGACCATTTTGTTGGTGGTTGGGATTTAAGACATCTTTTTCACAAAGTATACAATCTGAATCTAATTATCGTACTACTTGGATAGAAACCCTTCTAGGCCCTTATCGATGTTACAGTTTCACTCTTTTTTTTTTTTTTAATTGTATATAATATACGTGTCTTTTAGTGGTCAGTATATGTGCTCTCTTAGCTAGGTTATTCCACACAGAAAATACACATCTTTTTATTGCATTTTGTTTTTCTGTAAATGTTTTGACTTTGTACTGCTTCAATTAATGTATGTGTGGTAGTTTTATTATTCTTGAAACATATTTAAAAGCTAGCGAAACTATTCCTATTATTTGCTTTTCAGCGGAGAATTAAATACGTGAAAAGAAAAAAGACACGTTGAATTAAATTTTTCTTGCTTTTGAAATTCACTACTATCTTAGATTATAGAATACTATTTTTTTAATACTATTACGAGGACTTAAATTAGGATTCAATACATATATTAAAAACAACCCACACACCTATTAAACACCAATTGAACCCGAGACTCCGTATGCAGTACGCTTATTTGATTCAGTAACAATTAATTACTAGGAAAAAGAAAGTAAATATAGAAAAGGAATTACTAATTAATTACAATAGTTTTGTTCCATTTAGTCATTCATATACCGTGTTTAAGAACTGCATATTATTAATGGGTATTTGATGCTCCTATAAGTAAATAGTTTCTCTTCCCGGATTGTGATTAATAAAGCTCTAGTCTCTGGAATATTATGTTATTTGCAATTTGACAGTTTGTATAAAAAGCAAGAAATATGATTCTTGTAACTACAGAAAACAGACCTAAATAATGCATATTTATCACAAAATTCGTCAATGCCATAATTAATTATAATTATAATAGTTCTACTCATAAGTGTGTGTCTAAATATATATATATATATATATATATGTGTGTGTGTGTCTATATATATATATATATATATATAGGTGGTCCAGTCAAGACATGCAAATTTATGAACAATAAATGATGCGGTTATCTCATGGTCTTAGCTTTATGAATCACTGTAATGATAGTTGTCCAAAGTATGAAGCATAGAGTTAGAAAAGCATTGATCAGAGTATGATCAGTATTGATTTCTAGGTGTGTTCTTAAGCCTCGTGTGCTTGTCAGTTTCATCATTTTAATGAGTGCCTCTTTGACCCAATTACTCTCTTTTCGTACCCCATGCACGCTCTCTCTGTGTATATGTGTGTCTATATATATAAATATATATACACGAGCTGTTTAATATGTTGATCTATTTATATCTTTATATATGTGTGTACATATATAAATTTTTGCTATTCCTTGAGTATGTATACACAAATCAAAAGTTGGATATTGCACACAAGTTAAGATTAGTAGTTGTGCTTGTAAATGGAATGGACTTGATCACATGGAGATTGTACGTACTAGAGTTTAATTTCAGACTAGCTAGCAAGGAAATCATTCATATATTACGAGAGAAATTTATCTCTCTCTATATATATCCATATTTCTTTCCTTCTTGCGATTTTTTTTTAGACAGATTACTTGAAGCTATGATCTCCATCTATACATCTGCTTGTGCATTAAAGACCACACATTTAATGCAAAATTATTTGTTACATCATATAGATTATGTATAATTTAATTACTTGCTTGCAATTCAATATCCATACGATAAATTAATTTCTTTCCTCATTTATCCTATTTCGTTTTGCATATAATTTATTTCATCTCACCCTGAAAGGAATATTCCAAAGACACCAATGAATCACCAATACATGAGGAAACCTTTCAAATGGATATAATAACATATGTTATGTAAACACACATACATATATACATGCTATGTGTGTGTCTATATATATATATATATATATATATATATCACACATTCACACCGGCCGGCATTTAAAACATCCACGACTTCTTTCTTTATTTTATCAGCTAGGGAACAAAAAGAGACAAATATAGATGCGTTTATATATATATATATGCCCATGATATAATTTATTGACATTAATGAATGTGTTATATTGAATAATCTGGCAGGAGCAAGCTGAAGCAAACAGAAATGGAGTGCGAGTACTTAAAGAGATGGTTTGGATCACTGACTGAACAGAACAGGAGACTTCAAAGAGAAGTGGAGGAGCTGAGGGCCATGAAAGTGGGGCCCCCTACCGTGATCTCCCCACACAGCTACGAGCCCCTCCCGGCCTCCACTCTCACCATGTGTCCACGCTGCGAGCGCGTCACCACCACCACCACCACAACCACATCCGCCGCCACCAACAGCCACCACGACAAGGTGGGCCCCACCAAAGCCGTTGCTGCCTCCACTGCCGCGGCATTGTCGCCTAAAGTGGCGACGCCCGCCCTGTGATCCCGCCACTATCCTGATGCATATGTTGTCTTGTAGTGGCCCACTTTGTGGAGTTAAACAAAAGAAGTGATATCAAGTGCAAGGCAAAAAAAAAAAAAAAAAAAAAAAAAAAAAGGGGTCAATTAGAGAATGTTCATAGATAAAAGTAGTCTAATTATACAACGTGTTGCGGGCGGGGGGGAGGGGGACAATACGTTGTATAAAAAATCTACATAGATATTCTAATGTTTGGCATGTTTGCCTTGGAAACCATTGAAAAAGGAGATGATTAGCTTAATTAGCTAGCTAGCCGGATAATTTTGACTTTGTGTTGCAAATTACAAGAATGTCCACTACTCAATGACACATAGGACTAATTGTACAAAATTCCAATCATTAAGGTCAAAAGTCTTGTCATTTGTGTGAAAATTGAAGGGAAATTATGAGGACTTTGTGACCGTCGTAATTGATTGAATTAGTGGATATAAATAAATAATAATAATCTCATCTTTTTAGGTGGTAAATGGTGCAGGACGGGTGTTCATCAGTTTTTGGTGTTCATCAGTTTTTAACCGATAATTTTGATCGGTTTTAAAATTGAATCGATAATGTTAGTTTTTAAAAATTTAAAACCGAAACTGAACTGAAGAATAATGTCTGCAATCGGTTAACTGATCAATTTTTATCAGTTTTTATCGGTCGGTTTTCGGTTGGTTTCTTACTTAAAAAAATTTTTGTGAACAATTTTCTTCTTAAATTTTAACCATTTAAATATTTAATATTTAAATAGTTAAAATTAAAAAGAAAAAATGGCTTCAAAGACAAAAAAATAAAACCTAAAAGAATGTATCCTTAAGAATTAATGCTTTACATCTTATCTCAATTAGAAAACTTATTTATATTGAAGTCCGTCATATTATTAAAGATGGACGTTCAAAAGAAGTTAGACCTCTCTAACTTGTAAGTTGTGATGAAAAAATGAAATATATAGCCTTTATATAGAATAGTTGAGGGAAGACATTCTCATATCTTTTTAATATGGGACTTTCAAAAGTCTGATGTGCTTAAATTTTCAAAAACATCAGACTTTTAATAGTCTCAGATTGAAAAGAGATGAGAATATCCTCCCTCAACTATTTTATATAAAAGGCTATGTATTTCATTTCTCCATCACAACTTACAAGTTTGAGAGATCTAACTTCTTTTAAACGTCCATCTTCAATAATATGATGGACTTATATTCACCATCTACAAGATTGGAGGTTCGAATATATGGATAATAACTTTTTTTATAAATTGGTCGGTCGGTTCAGTTTAGCTGATCACTTCGGCTGACGGTTAACCGACCGAATTAGTTGATTTGCTGACGTGGAACTGAATTTTTAGTTTTTTCAGTCGGTTTGACGGTTCGGTATCGGTCGGTTTCAATTTTTCAGTTTTTTTGAACACTCCTAGTGCATGCTATTGTGTATATATTATATTATATGCGCAATTTCGTAAGCATGATAGCATATATACAGCTCAATTAAATACTGGAAAATGTGTTGTACAACTTTTTTTTTTCTTACCTCATTTGAAATGGACTTAGAGAAAAGCGATGGCTGTGTTTGAAGTTGTTTTCGTTTTTATTTTTCACGTTTTTTAAGAACGAAAAAATGAAAATGGAAGAGAAATGACATTTGACACAATTAAAGGTAAAAAACGGAAATGAAAATGATTTTTTAATTTAGTGTAAAATGGAAGAAAAATGAAAAATGACTTTTAGTCATTTTTTATTTTTTGTTTTCGTTTTCTCCTCTCTCGAGTAGAGAGAGAGAGTGAGACATTAGTGATTTTTTTTATACTGAAAACAACCTCTTAAAAAAACTACCAAACACATTTTTAAAAATGATTTCTGTGTGAAATTGAACACGTTTTCATTTCTATTTTCATACAAAAACAAAATTATTTTAAAACGAGTTCTAAACGCACTAAATGTTTTTGCATAGCTAGCTGGGCAAATTAATTCAATTCTTCTCCAATAACTTATCGCGATTAATATAGCTTTGTAGCTACACGTAAATTTGGTTTCAAAGTTGGAGCAAAAAAAAAAAAAATCAAAGTTGAGAATATATACAGCCCACTTGTCCTCTGGAACTTGGAAGCCCATTAAGTTGAATCGTTGAAGGAAATTTTCACAAATACTCTTTAAAACTGTATAAAATTGTATAGGTTTTAATTTTTACATCTTATTATTATTATTGATTAATATTCTTTTTAGTTAATTTTTACATCTTATACAGCCCACTTGTCCTCTGGGTTTGAATTTTTACCTCTTACTCTTAATTAATACTATTTTGACTAATATAATTATTTGTGAAAAAGATATTAATTAAGAGTAACAGATAAAAATCCAGACTCAGGAATCTTAATAGCTTTTAGAGTTATTAGCATGGTTAGTATTTGTATTACGAGTGTTGTGACACCTTCGTCTCTGATTTGTATTAAAGATGATTCCATGCACTTATATGTTTTAGTAGTTTTTATATCTAACATTAAAATTAACATATAATTTCTGCAATTTAACAAAGACATTACGTGGTAACTTGGAATTTTGTAAAAATATACCGCACCTGATATTTCAACTTATCACTTGAGTACTGTCGTTTTACTCCCTACGACATAATTCTCTACGAAAAGATCTACCATGTTCTCAAAATTTCTCGAGCAACTCTGGTTTTAAAAAATCTGTTCACAAACGAGTTCTTGAGTTTGGGCTTCTAGTTGAAACGAACTGGCATAAGGAAATGGGCCAAAACATATTTAATGGACCAAGAAAAGCGAAAGGGGGCGACGGGAAGGATCTTTTTTGTTGAATTTTTTTTTTTTTTTCCCTTCAAATAAATAAAAAGCAAAAGTGGATCTATTTTTAGTCGCATAAGTGAATAATGCCTTTCTATCTTGTGATTTTGAAATGGTAATTACTGAATTCACATGTAGTTTTCTTTCTTTCTTTTTTTTTTCCCCCTTAAGTTTTGGTACATTAATTTCTTATGTCTTAGCAAGTTATACACACAAAGAGCAAAGTTAAGTTAAAAAAAAAATATATATATATATATATATATATATATCTATATATATATATATAGTAACAATATCACCCTATAAAAAGAAGGGAAAAAAAAGTGACAATATCACAAGTGTAGAATGGTAATGATTTATGCCGGGTCTTAACGCCCAACAATGGCCAAACACATGTGCCCATATAAGAGAAGAGCGTCCCAGCTTTGTTTTTTCTTGGTGGAAAGATTGCAGTTTTGGGGCCCTTGAATTTCATTCATTGATCAACTCTATAAGCTTACGAGTAGTAAACTGAATTTGGCAAAATGTATTTTATTAAACGAAACGAATTAAGAGTTTATTATTAATTTTTCAATCAAATTAGGAGAAAAGGAAAATTCTAGTCCAAACAAGGGGAAAAAAGCAAAGTACGAAATTAGGAGAATAAAGAGAATAAGTTAGTTCTAATTTTAGTGATTAGATGACTTAACCAACTAAAATTGATGGAACAATAAAAAAAAACAAAAAACTAAAATTGATGAAGATTTTGAAAGAAGAGTACTTTAGAGGGGAAATTAATATGAACTACCTTCCAACCGAACACACAGAATAAGTAGGCCTTAGGGCACTGAAAACCACATCACATGGGCCTCACTTCGGCATGAGCTTTATTCTATAATTGGTGGTTATGGACACATTTGTGATAGCACAATTTGTCAGAAAAATTTTGTCAAAAAGTTTCCTTTCCAACCTAAAATGTGTGAAAACACACACTCAGCATGTCTCCGAGGCCCATTAAATATGTTCCCCTTTTTCCCTTCTTTCTTCTCTCATTCTTTCCTTCTTTCCGTCTCCTTTCCCCTCATTCATTCATTCAACTAGTAATTCCAAAGGGATGAGATTGTTCTTAGCTGTACTTTGGAAATTGCTCTTTCTTTTGGAGAAATTTTGAGCAGTGAGGGAAGAAAGATGACAAACAACAAGATGTTTGTGCATTTGGTAATAATGAATTATTATGAGTGGCACATCTCAAAAGGAATGTTCTTTCACATGGTTTGGATTTTGGAAGTAATTAAGATATTTCAATAATACTAGAAAGAGAATTCATCTGTTTTTCTGTTTTCATAAGTGAGAAAATTAGACAATATTTCCTCCTCTTTTCCTTCCAAAATGAGAAGAATGAAAAAACGTATAGGACTTGTAAATCATTCCAAATAATGTCTCTAAAGAAATGTTGTGATATGCATTATTTACAACGTATTTTTCTAACCACATATCTTGTTGGATGTGAAAATTAATACATAACTTTAAATTCATATGCACTACGTACTTCAATGACATTATATCTACTTCCTTTATATTTATTATAATGAAGTTATAGCTAGGTGTTCTCAAAGAATCTAGTTGGTTAAGAAGGATTACCAATATTAAGACAACCCCACAAACACATAATCTGATTCCTATAAGTTCTATTGGTATTAATACATTTATAATTGTGTTTAAAATCTTTAATTTCTTTTTGTTGCGATAACCTTATCTTCATAATGTTCGCTACCCAAGATTGAGTCAACTCTTCCCTTCACGTGTTGAACAAAGAGATCGGTAGTTTAACCGTCCACATAACGATGCATGTGAACTACTACTTGTTAGGCCTAAAACGCATTAAGATTGTTAAACCATTAATCAACACATTACAAAATTCCATTCAATTGTGGGCTAGCGAACTGCAATATATATGACACTTATATAGCCTTTCTTTTTATTCTTATATTTTTGGGGATTCTTGTAGTTATTTAATTTCAGATGATACAAACTGGGTAACTTTAATGTTTTTGCAAACTATAAGAAAAGCACACCTCATCACATACTCATTTCCACAATCCACTATGATTTAGCTTAATTGCCATCATAATGTCCTTGCCCTTTTGAAAGATTGATAAGTTTGCTCACCACGTGATCGATCATTTTCTCAGTGAGATGAGCA